GCAACTACTGACATCACAGTCTGGAGCCAGTGAAGGGTAGTGATGCTTTCAGAATATGTAAGGGACCAAAACCAAGATGAGGTCCTGGAACAACTTCAGTTCCTAAAGTGCGGATGAGAACAGTGCCCTCTCTACAGAGGTGTCATTTGTTCATCCCAAAGAAGCCAATAGCCAATACTAAAGCACCAGATACATGTTTGTATTATTTTACTCTAGCTACTTTTGAATAAGTCAGTGCAGAAGAAAGTTGAACAAGGGCTAGATTGAATATTTCACCTAGAAGAAAGTGGGATTCTCAGCACAAAGGACTTCAGCTAATTCAGTACCAAGAATTTCCATCTGTATCCAAGATGGTGCTAAATGGTGACACTGAGATTCTAGATACAAGAATGACTACACAGTGATGTTTCTGTTCATTTGTTTCCTTATTTTTAAGATCAAGTACTAATCAGAAATGTATTCCCGTCTAAGGCACCCCTCATTTATAGATTAGAGGAGTAAAGCTCACTGACAGTCAAGCAGATAATTTAGAGCTTAGCAATTCACAATACACTCTGTTGCAAAATATTAAGGTGGCTAGATAAAAGCAGTATATTGCACTTTTAAGGAAAGAGAACAGCCTTCCAAGGAGAGCCAGAAAAAGACTTTTGGAGCCTCCAAAGTATTCAAAAAGCACTGCACAAGTAGCATTGAACAGTGGAACCAAAAGGTTACTCAGTGACACCAAAAGTGTGTACAGAGGTGCCACAGCAAGAAGATGTGTTTGCAGAACAGACATCAAAGAAGATAACATGGACAGTTCTCTTGGTCTAACAGATGATGACGTTTTTAAGGGAGTCCACTGACAAAACAGCCATAGTCGGAACAGGGAGACATGGAATCCAGCTCTAAAGCTCTATTTTTGCAAGAGATTTCACTCAGGAGGAGGGGCAGTACTGAAGATGAATGCATGATGAATTTCCCAGGTTTTTGGAGCTTATTGGCCAGAACTAAAGGGTACCATGCAATAAACAAACCAGCGCAGCCACTGTCATTCTGTCTGAAAGCACCTTGGACAAGACCATGAACATGGAGCAGAGAGGAGGAGACTCACAAAAGGCCTAGATGTATTTTGAAGTACAAAGTTCAGTGCAAAGTTGAGATACCATCCTAGATGGATCCTTGGAGTTTTTTAGCTTCTCTTTTCAAGGCCTGTGCTTAAAATCCTGATAAACAGAACACTTGCCTCATACATAGTTCTTCTTCACTCAGATAAAACAAATACAGGCAATGGCCACCACAGAAAAAGAATAAGCATAATGGGTCCCAACCCATCCTTAGGATTTCCTGCTCATATTAGTTGTAAATTAAATACCAGCTTTCGAGCTTATGAGGCAAAGTAACAAGTTGTATTTAACTTCAGTTTAGCTTTATTTTCCAATATTTTTAATAAAATGTTCCAAAATTAAACATTATATACCTTTATATCTATGTTTTTATGTACTTATAATTTCTCTTCAACTTCTAACTCCTTCTGTTAAAGGATGTTGAATGTTTTCCTTTTAGTTCAAGCACTCTAAACAGGATATAATTTTCTTATGCCACAAAAAGGAAAAAAGCTCATGAGGAAACTGACGTATAAAATACATTTCTCTTAGTCATTAGAAGGTACCAATTTAAGAAGGAAACATTTTGCATGACTTTTTAAAAAAAAACAACAACAAAACAACCATAAAACCAACAAATAAACAAAACCCCCCAAACCATTAAGTTATTTACAGGATGAAATGCTGTTTGCATTCTATAATTGTACCTGACACCTTACCTTTCCTGCAGTTTCTCATCAGAGATCTCCAATTCTTCTTTTAAGTTTTGGTATCTATCTTCCCTTAACAATCTGGTGCCATCATAGAGAGTCAGTTCTCTGTCATGTATTAGTCTGTTTGAAAGTAAAGCATAAGCTTTATCTAGCTTTTGATTACTTTTTAAAATACTTCTATCAATGAACACTTTTTTTTTAAGAGCTACCTCAGTCAACATGGGTTGTAGTAAAAAGAAAAAGTTACACCAATTTAAGATGCATCCAAGTGTGGACATAAAATAACATGCATAAATAGTTTCAGTGCATAGTCAGTCAACTTAGTTTAAATAGATACGGTAAGAAAATGAAAAATAAAAAATTCTGTCTTGCCAGTACAGCGTGCATAAATGCCATGAAACAGACATTTTGTTATATTCGTACCAAGTAATATACCTGTTGTGCTTCTTGAAGTGCTATATTTCAGTTTGCTTTAATGATTAACATACATACAGACCCAGCTTTTATTTTTTTCAATGCAGAATTTGATTAGATATAATGTATGCACATGGCAGAAGAAAAATCAGGAGGCAAAACTAAACTGATTAAAAGGGGAAAAAAAACAGGCAAAGTTCTCTCTTCTGCCTTTTTGTGTATATAGAATAAAAAAGGCACAAAATATATTTGCTACAACCTGCTTTTAAAATTGGTAATGTCCTTTAAGTTTGCAAAAGGCAGTACAAGATGTAGGCACATGAAGTAGAGCAAAAATTTGACCTGACAGTACAGATTATTATTAACATAGTATTTGTTATTACTACTTCTGTACTACAAAGTTTAATTTCTTTTTTATTGAATTATGAAATAATATTTAGAAAGAGTTCTTTGTAATCAACATGAAGTATGCTTTTACATATAACTGTAATGATCACACTTTATTTAGGAGCACAAGGTAAAGTATTATAAACATTTTCTGGCATCTTGCATTTTCAAATCATTGCACAAATATTCCTAAACTTTAGATTTCATAAGTTTAGAGTAAAATCTAGCTCATTCTTCAATTCAGACTTGCATTCTGTATTTACAAAGAGATGAGATTTCCTGTATTATTACAGACTTAAAAAGAACATGAAAGAATTGCTTCTGCTTTTATGTAAAGACTAAACATTACATATTCTAGGAAACTTCAATGCTCAGCTTGATTATTACAGTATTGAAGTTACCAAGCCATATTCATTAGAAGTAATTTCTCAGTATGCATGCACTCAGCAAACAGATCATGTGCACTCAACTTATCCATTCTCACATCCTGACCTTTGAAGCACAGCTAGAGTGCCAGGGTTAATCCGATGAATGCCATCAAGAATAACAAGCTTTCCTTCCAGGGCAGCAGTAACAAGTGGTGATGGTCTCCAAGCAGTGTCTCCATTAGGAAGAGTATACCTTTGCTGTAGCAAATCTCTGGCCGTCATATCCTGTAAGTAACAATTCATGAAAAAATATACGTTTATGCTCTATTTTCTTCATCTACAGCTTCATCTACATCTATTTTCTTCACGTTTTCTCCTTCAAAACTGCATTCTGTTTTTCCTGAGTGTATAGCCAAAGAAGATTAGCAGGAAATCTTCAATTACTTTTCCAAAGAGTATTGGAACACATGAATCTACACACACACACAAATCTACACATGCACTATGCCAAATAGTCTTTGGAAGTTCTAGACTTGCCAATATCACCTCTCTGAAACCACAACAAAAGCTGCAATTATTTCTCCACCCCCCTTAAACATAATGCAAGCATATGACAACTGTACACAGCTTTGTGTACAGAAGGGGGCAGCAATTTACACCTGGAACAAACAAGACTACTTTATTTCATATAGAAGTCGCCTCAAAGAGCAAAGATTTCATCATTAATCTTGAACACCACCAGCATGACATTTTACCTCTCAGC